CCCCCCCCCCCCCCGCATTCTTTCCCTGGAACATTCTGTGCGTCCCTAACCAGTTAAGTTCTTTAAAAGCAGTGGTCTTGAAACTGACCATATCCTTTTTTGGGGGTGAGGGCAGGGAGAGGAGGAAGGAGATGGTCTGAGTAAATGATTTTTTTCGATAGCAACGTCCACTTGGGGCTTCGGGGAGGCGGGGCTCACGGGGCCCTCCTTGCACCAGCTGTGTACAAAGTCTTGCCTGCGGTTTACAACCGCTCTTTAAAAATGATTTCCCTTTGGGTCGGCCCCTGGCTTCTTCCTGCCTTCCCCGCCCCCATCCTTTGCCGCCCCAGGCAAAGAAAAGCCAGGGCTTCAAGTGCAAGTCTTTAAGTAAATGATGTTTACAATCGACCCAAGGCAAGCTCTACCTTTTCCCTTTGCCGCCCTCAAATGACCCTTGACAGCAGCCCCTGCTCTCCCTTCAAATGCAAAACCCACTGACACACACACACACATACACACACACAAACAAAAAAACCCCTAAGTCTTCCTTTCGGTTGCTACCCGCAATGACGTTTCCCCTTCGGGTCCCGCCCCTCCGGGGGCTTGGAATTTTTGGGATTGGTCAAGAGGCTGTGGCGCTAAGGCCCCGATTGGATGGTGCGGAGCTGAGTGGCAGCAGGGGCAGTCGCCGCGCCCTCCCTCCCTCAGCGGTGTGCGAATGTGTGTGTGCGGTGTTATGCCGGACAAGAGGGAGGCGACCGTGGCGGCTCTGTTTATTGTCTCTCTCGGTGTGTGGATGTGAGGAGTCTGGGGCCGAAGCGCAGCGGTTTAGACGGCCTTTGGGACAGTGGGAGCGAGCGCGCCGAGGAGTCGGGCGCCGCGAGAGGCCGGCCTTCGCCGAGTGTGAGAAGGACGAGGCACCCCGCGCCCCCGCCACGTCTGGACGCCCCGGGCTCCGCAGCAGCGCTCGGCAGCTCGCGGCTCCCGGCTTCTGCCCCATTTGCTGCGGCGCGGACTGTCGAGTGAGGACGCGGCTGCGCTACTGCCGCGCTACTGCCGCCGCCGGCCGCCTCGCTCCGTCTTCCTTTTCCTCGCCGCTGCGCTAGGCCCGGGCAACGCGGCCGCCGCGCCTCGAGTTTGAGGGCGGCCGGCGGCGCAGCCTCGGCGGCGGGCTCGGCCGGACGTCCGCTCCGGGACCCGGGATGGGGCGCGTCGGCCGGCGCGGCTAGGAGCGCGGCGAGGGCAGCGGTCGGTGCGGAGCGGCGTGTGCCCAGCGGCCCCCACAGGGAGGCGAGAGCAGCGGCCGCGACCTCGGGGCCTGCGAGCTGGAGGGCCCCGCCATGGCCAAGTCCGGCGGCTGCGGCGCGGGAGCCGGCAATGGGGCGCTGACCTGGGTGGTGAGTGGCGGCCTCCCTCCCGGGCGGGCGAAGGTCTCGGCAGCCGGCAGCCGGCAGCCAGGCAGCCGCATTGTTCGCGGCCCGCGGGGCTGGGGGTGGGGAAGGAAGGCTGCGGGGCGGGGGAGTGGGGAAGCCGGTCTCCAAGCGTGCCCCGTCGGGCCAGTGCCAGCTCAACCCCACCCCCGCTCCTTTTCTTTCTTTTCGCCTCTGGAGGTTCAGGCTGCAGAAGCATCGAGTGTACTTGAAACTTTGGGGTACAAACCGCAGATGTGACATATAGTCCCACTTCCTCTCTTTTCCTCTGTCCCGAATTCTTCCAGGGCGAACTCTTCCAGGGCGGCTGACCAGAGATGGTGGGCATGGCCATAATGCGTGTGTCTCTGTGGGTCAGCACTTTGGTTTAAGAAAATACCGGAGAGCGGCATCTGTGTGTGTTCTAAATGCAGCCGTTTCTGGTTGTCTGATCGCTCAAAGAATAAATTGAGATGTCTATTGCAGTTTACAGGTCAAGTTGGGAAGGCTCCTTCGATTTGGAGGGCATTTGGGATGAGTGTTTCACAGCAGTTAAAATACGGTAGATCGCCCATCTGTCAGGGTGAGATTATTAAAAGAAGAGCTTACTTACGTCAGCGTCTCAGGTGAAGCTGAATAGGAGCTGAAGTGGACGTCCTGGAGAGGTGACTGAAGTACTTAGTCCTGGAGTTCAAGGATTTGGCGCTCAATTCCTGCTGCGAAGTAAAAGTAGCAATTGTGGAGAACTGGTGAGACCAGATTCCCATGACAGATCGATACTGTAATTCACCGCATTTCACTTGCTCAGCATAGCGTTCAGACCTGGGTCATTTCCTATGCAAAAACCCAGCTCAGCCAACTGGGTATCTAGGAGAAAAATAAAAGCATTACATTTTTTAGGACTTTGAACGGACTGGTTCCCCCCATCCCCGATACCCGAAAGGAACTTTTTCATATTAGTGTTTGTTACTTCTTTATTTTCTTTGTTAGAGGGAGTTTTAGATAAATTGAGTAGCCCTTATGCTGTATAGACATGTGTTCCTAGGAAAAGGATACTGATAAAAATATTTTAACCATTTATATTTGTGTTCAGGCTCTTATTGTTGAATCTCAGAATTTTGTACAATTATGTAGTATGAAAGTATGAATGGGAGGAAATGTTTCATATTGGTGGGCCATGTAGACATGGGGGAGAGGACTTGCACACATGAAAAGAATTTTTTTTAAACCGATGGGGCTTACCTTTGTTACTAAAAGCAGTCATCTGAAAATGGAGTTAGATAACGAGGTGGTATTCTGTTTTTACTTTGATTCATTTAAAATGTTGAGTCCTGATCAGTGTTTCCTTTGAGGGCCTCTGATTCCATAGTGGTAAACGTTTTGCTCTGAGTTGGAGTGGTTGAATTTAAAATATGATGGCGATATTCTAATTTACTGTTATTTAACTTTGTAGATAAATTTGTTGTTTTTGCAGTACTGAGGATTGAGCCCAGGGCTTTAGCCCTTTTTTAAGGCTTTTTTTTTTTTTTTTTTTTGTACCGGGGGATCAAACTCGGGTCCACTGAGCTAAATCCCCGGCCCCCTTTTTTAAGTTTTGAGACAATCTTGATAAGTTGCCCATCCTAGGCTGGAACTTTCAATACTCCCGCCTCAGCCTCCTGTGTAGCTGGGATTACATGTTGCACTATTGTGCCTGGCACTTTGCAGTTAATTTAATGACTTTTCCTTTAAGCTCAGTGAAGAAACTTTCAGTTACATAAAGCAAACAAAAAACTGAGCATAACTTGGAGAGTTTCTTTCAACATTAGAAAGATCCATTTGAAATTAAAATTGACTTATTATATTCATTATTACCCTCATTATGGGAAATAAAGGGAATACAGTGAAAGAAGTAAAAGTCACTTGGTCATTTATAAGAAGTGAATCTTGTTTATTGATGTGATAAGCACTCTGTAAGTCCTCTTTTATATTTGTTGCTTTAAATTTAAATTATATGAGCATTTTATGCCCATAGTGTATGTCATTGTTTATGGGCTGCCTCAATTTTATGGGAGATGATAAAACATTCTGGTTATGGGCTTTGATGTCATATTGATACAAGTCAGATCCTATCTCCAATACATATTGTAGGTGGGGGACTTTGCAAGGAATGTAACCTTTCTAACCCTGTCTTGTCATAAGTCAAATAAATTTTCAATCAGAACTAAATGTAACATTCAGGACAGTGCCAGGGTTAATAAAATGTTACTGGCAAATTTCAAACAATTTGCACTCTGGAATGATCTTTTGCTATTCACATAAAATATCTTTCAGCTGGGTGAAAACAAATTTTTTCTTTGCAAGAGTTTAGAGACTTACTGCAGTGTCATCTATTTTGAAAAAGGTGCAACTTTGTCTGCATTATTGAAGTTGGTGTTATGTTGCCCCCTGCTTGTGGATAATAGGAAAAAATAAAAATGGCATTGGTTATCTTTTCTCTTCTGGTTGAGGGATTGTGCAAAATGTGTTGTTAGTATTAACTTCTGTTGGGATGCATGCCAGCATATGTTGTTAAGGTTATTATTGTATGAAAATTCACCTTTCAAAGTCAGAAACCACAGGGCAAAGTGGTTAGATTGACATTAATTTTCTTTTTAATAACTAATTTAGTTTGTATTTGATTTGTAGTATCTTAGCCAAAATTTTTATGATTAAAAAAGTGGAAAATATATGGTAAAACTATTTTGAGTTAAAAATTAACAAGGGTATATATATACACATACTTGATCTTAGCCAAAAGGCCGAGAAGCGATATATATATATATATATATGGAGAGAGAGAGAGAGAGAGAGAGAGAGAGAGAGAGAGAGAGAGAGAGGCTTCTCTGAAGCAAGCATAGTTTCTTGAATTTTTAGTGTATAAAACTTTGATTACTAAATGGTAATAGTCTGTTTCATTCTGTCTGATATTTAGGTGGGTATAGCAAAATATTTTCAAAATATTAGAATATATGAGCCGGGGATTTAGCTCAGTGGTTCCACCACCTGCTTCGCAAGTGCAAGGACCCGAGTTTGATCCCCAGTACCAAAAAAACAAAACAAAAACAAAATATTAGAGTATAGTCATATGACTGTTGCTCTTTTTTCTAGTAATACTTCAACTTGGATTAAAAAAATAGATTAAAAAATGCTGTAAAGAAAATTATTAAGCATCTAAAAAATGGTAGCCAGAAAAGTGTAATAAGCCTCCCTCTGTCATCAGACTTTAATATTACCAGCTCAAGGTAAGTACTTTTCCTATTTTCGTTTTGAAGTAAAGTAAATCCAACAGTTAATATCATTTTCTCTGTATTTAACATTTATCTCTAAAAGTTAAATTTCTCTTTTAAAAGTCCCCAATTAACATTATAACTTCTTTAAATCATTGAAATATATAGCATCCTTTGTTTTTGTTTTTTTTGGTTTATTTTTCCAGTACCAGGGATTGAACTCAGGTCCTTGTGCTTGTGAGGCAGGCAGCAGAACCACTGAGCTAAATCTCCGGCCCCAGCATCCTTTGTTTTGAGACAGGGTCTCACTAGGTAGTTCACGCTGGCCTTGAACTCACTGTGTAGCCCAGGCTGGCCTTGAACCTGTGGCAGTCCTCCAGCCTCTGCCTCCCAGATGCTGGGATTACAGGCATGCACAACTATGCTCAGCTATTGTGAATATTTCTAATTAAACAAGCATGACTATATATTTAAATATTGTTTGAAATTTTAAGAACCCTATTCGAATGACTCCTTACTGCAAGTCCACATTCCTCAGTCAGACGTTCATAAACTATGTAGCCTCCCCATTGAAATTTATTTCCTATAGACCCCATGGTTAGATTTATCTCTTCACTTTTCTGCTCAAGTCATGCTTATTTTTTGGCTCACTTTGTGTGTTTACTTTTTATCAAGAATGCTTCCTTTTCTTTAGCAGTCTCAATCTTAACTGCTCTTCAAGACTTTCAGTTTATACTTACCTTTTATTGAACTTTTCTCTTATCAATCCTAAAACCTAAATCTTTCTTTTTGTTACTTTTATGCATAATTTTAAAACAATAAGTTTTATTTATTGGACAATATATTATAAACTTCTGAAACAATACTATAAACTCCTGAAATCAGGGACCATATATTTTTCTTTATATATTTTTCTTATATATTTTTCTTTATATTCTTTTTTGGTACCAGGGATTGAACTTGGGTCCTTGTGCTTATGAGGTAAGGTAAGCGGTGGAACCACTAAGCTAAATCCCCAGCCCTTTCTTTATATTCTTTATGGTATCTGCAAAAACCCAGGATATACAATCCAACCTCAGTTACTGTTATTAGATATAACAGTATTGGATAATTGACATACTTTTTGAAATTTGTCATTACTGAGACAAGTGGTTAGGTAGCAATATTCTTTAGAGATGTTCTTAAGTATATATAATAGCAGAATTTAAAAACATTTTATTAACTGCTACCTTTTTTGAATAGAAGTTAGTTTGTTCACCTACAGTTTCACATTTGTTAGAATGATGGTGGTATTATCTGTTGCATTTTACTGTGTACACATTAAGAAACCAGCTTCAGGCCTCTTATATATTTTCTCTCTCTCTCTCTCTCTCTCTCTCTCTCTCTCTCTCTCTCTCTCTCGCTCGGTTGAATTTGGGACTTCATGTACACTAGGCAGGTACTCTCTACCACTGAGCACATCCCCAGCCTGTCTTTTGTATTTTTCTAAACTTTAATACAAATAGTCCATCTTCCCCATTTTGAAGAAAAGGTGAGATATAGCTACAATTACTATCATTTGCAGAAAAGGAAACTGGGTCTTAGCTGTGTACCTAACAGTTATTTACCTAAGGCAAGAGTGGGATTTAAAGGGTGTTTAGTTCTTTTTTTTTTTTTTTTGGTACCAGGGATTGAACTTGGGTCCTTGCACTTGCGCAGCAGGCAGCGAAACCACTGAGCTAAATCCCCGGCCCGGGTTTA